TGGTAAGGGTAATCTAAATCATATATATGATGTTTGCAAGGAATTTTAGCGTCAGGAAAAACAGCAGAGATCTCTTACAGAATATTTTATGGATTTTAAACGAGTATATGAGGAATTGAATTATCTCCTTCCTTTTAGTACTGATATAAAAACTCAGCAGTCTCAATGCGAACAAATGGCTGTAATGAATTTTCTTGTAGGATTACCAATTGAGTTTGATGCTACTTGAACACAAATTCTCTCTAACCTAGAGATTGTTTCCGTTCATGACACTTTCACACGAGTGTTGAGAACCGAGGAATCTTTGTCTACTTCCAATGTTACTAGTGCTCTCGCAAGACGAAGTGGAGCTGGTCGAGGAAATAATAGTAGAAACAGTGGCAAAAATGAAACTGGTGGGATTGCTGGTCATGGACAATTCAACTCAAATCAACGAGTCTTTTATCACTGTAAGAAATCAAACCATACCATACGTACGTGTTTGGACCTTCATCGTAGACCTCAACAGCATCTTTCATTTGCAAATTTCGCAATCCAGGAGAACAATTATGTGCCTTCTGACAAATTCATACTCATCTCTGCTGATGAGTTTGCCCGCTTAACTGAGTTCTAGGCCTCACAAAAATTTGCTAATCCTTCTTCTATTGATCACTCAGGTAAACCTACTACATGCATTGTGTCATCTTCTAACAAATGGGTCATCGATTCCGGTGCAACAGATCATATGACCGGCAATAAAGATATCTTCTCTTTTAATCCTAACAAAGATCATCCGAATGTTACTTTGGTTGATGGGTCGTGTGCTTCAGTTGTGGGTTCTGGTGTAGCAATCCCTATGTCATCTATCCCCTTATCTTCAATCTTATACTTACCTAATTTTTCTTTTAATCTACTCTCAATCAGTAAAATTACAAAAACTTTCAAGTGCTCTATCTCATTCTTTCTTAAATATTGTATTTTTCAGGATCTCATGATGGAGAAGATTATTGGTAAAGGACGTGAGTCTGGCAGCCTGTATACACCTGAAACCACTTCAATAAAAGTGTCGAAACCTGTTGCATGTTCATCCACCTTGAATCCGCTTGAAGTTCACTGTCGTTTCAGTCATCCATCTCTATCCACCTTGAAGAAGTTGTTTCCAAATTTTCAAAATTTATCCCATTTAGATTATGAGTTATGTCAATTTGCCAAGCATCATCGTTTGCCTTACTTGCCTAGAGTCAATAAACGGGTTGCATCCAACTTTGAATTAGTGCACTCTGATATATGGGGCCCTTGTCCAATAGCATCTAAGTCTGGTTTTAAATATTTTGTCACCTTTGTTGATAACTACTCTCGTGTTACTTGGTTATATTTAATGAGAAGTCATTCAGATTTATTTAATATCTTTTGTTCCCTTTGCACTGAAATTTAGTATCTTTTGTTCCTTTTGTACTGAAATCAAAACACAATTCAACGTGTCTGTCTGCATTTTGCGAACTGATAATGCAAAAGAGTACTTTTCTAAACCCTTTAATTCATTAATGTCAAAAAAATGAAACCCTTCACCAATCTTCATGTCCTGACACACCACCACAAAATGGTGTTACTGAAAGAAAAAATACACACTTATTAGAAGTTGCTAGAGCCCTCCTATTTCACATGAAGGTTCCTAAGCAATTTTGGGCAGATGCTGTTTCAACAGCCTGTTTCTTAATTAATCGCATGCCATCTTCTGTACTTGCTGGTGAGATTCCTTATTCAATTTTGTTTCCAACCCAATCTTTATTTCCCATTGAGCCACGTATATTTGGGTGTACTTGTTTTGTTCGTGATACCCGTACCCACGTGTCTAAATTAGATACCAAATCTCTCAAGTGTGTTTTTGAATTATTCACGTCTTCAGAAAGGGTATAGATGTTATTCTCCAATTTTAGATTGTTATTTAGTCTCTGCTGATGTTACATTTTTTGAGACACATCCATTTTTTCTTGAGTCTAATGTCTACAGTAGTAAGGGGGAGAAAGATGATATTCTAGTCTACACTGTTATAACAACTATTCCTACAAGACCACCAATTATTCAAGTGTATTCTCGTCGTTCTCAACACAGACTCACATCCTCCACCACCTTCTCCATCTACATATTTGAGTCTTGATCCACCGCTTCCTCAGTCTTCAGATTCCAATCTTGATTTGCCCATTGCTTTAAGAAAAGGTAAAAGACAGTGCACTTACCCAGTTTCATCATTTGCTTCATATGATCATTTGTCTCCTTCCTTGCGTTGTTTTACTGCTTCTTTCGATTCAATATCTCTTCCTCAACACTTATCTGAGGCTTTGGAACATCCTAGTTGGCGGACTGCTATGGAGGAAGAAATGATGACTCTAGACAATAATGGTACCTAGGACTTGGTTCATCTACCAACAGGTAAGAAACCTATTGGTTGTAAATGGGTGTTTGCTGTTAAAGTCAATTCTGATGGTTCTGTTGCTCGCCTCAATGCTCGTCTTGTTGCAAAAGGATATGCTCAGACATATGATGTGGATTACTCAAACACATTTTCTCCCATAGCCAAACTCACCTTTGTTCGATTATTTATATCCCTTGCTGCTACTTATAATTGGCCTTTGTACCAGTTAGATGTTAAGAATGCATTCCTTCATGGAGATTTGCAAGAGGAGATTTATATGAAGCAACCACGGGGGTTTGTTGATCAGGGGGAGTCTGGTAAGGTTTGTAGACTCCGAAAGTCATTATATGGCTTAAAATAGAGTCCTCGTGCTTGGTTTGGGAGATTCAGTGAGGTGGTTCAAGCGTTTGGCATGAAGAAGTGTAATTCTGATCATTCTGTCTTTTATCACAATTTGAAGTTGGTCTTATCCTATTTGTTGTTTATGTTGATGATATTGTTATTATTAGTAGTAACACTGCAGGTATTGCAGCTCTTAAAAATTTTCTTCAATCGCGCTTCCAGACAAAGGATTTGGGTATGCTGAAATATTTTTTAGGCATTGAGGTTATAAGATGTAAACAAGGTATCTTCTTATGCCAAAAGAAGTATGTCCTTGATCTTTTGAAAGCAACAGGAAGGCTAGGTGCTAAGCCATGTAGTGCACCAATGATCCCCAACATGCAACTTACAACAGATGATGGGGAGTTATTCTCAGATCCTGAAATGTACCGGAGATTAGTGAGGAAGTTAAATTATCTTACTGTGACTCATCCGAACATTGCATATCCAGTTAGTATTGTGAGTCAATTTATGTTCTCAGCAAGAACCACCTATTGGGCAATTTTAGAGCAAATCTTATGTTACCTTAAAGGAGCTCCAGGACGTTGTATACTATATGGTAATCATGGCAATTCTCATGTTAAATGCATCTTAGATGCGGATTGGGCAGGTTCTAAAATTGATCGAAGATCTACAACTAGATATTGTGTCTTCGTTGGAGGTAATTTGGTATCATGAAAAGTAAGAAACAAAATGTAGTATCCTGCTCTAGTGCAGAGTTTGAATACCGGTCTATGGCACAGTCCACTTGTGAACTTATATGGATACATCAATTATTGTGTGAGGTATGGAATCAATAATTCACTTCCAATGAAGTTATGGTGTGACAATCAAGCTGCCCTTCATATAGCATCAAATCCAGTTTTTCATGACAGAACAAAGCATATCGAAGTTGATTGCCACTTTATTCGTGAAAAAAATTCAGCAAAACCTGATCTCAACCAGTCATGTGAGAACTGGAGAGCAGTTAGCTGATATTTTCACTAACCCTCTAAATGGTCCGAGAATTGATTATATTTGTGGCAAGATGGACATGTTTAACATCTATGCTCCATCTTGAGGGGAAGTGTTGAACATATGTGATCCGATATTGTAGAAATCATAAATATATGATTTGATTTGATATTGTAAATATTAGGAAAGATTAGATTTGATTTTATTTGATTTGCTTTATTATAGTATCAGCTATTAGAAGATTTGATTAGGTTATAGAGTGATTTAGATTTGCATGATTCTAGGATCTAAATTAGGTTACACTTGTGTATATATATTTGTACATTGTGTAGTCTAAAGGGACAATGAAGAAGAATGTTTTCTCCCCCTTTTTAGTTTTCAATTGTCAAGCAGATGAATACATGGTTTACCTCATAAAGGTACCAAACACGTACACACAGCTCAAAGGATGTGGAAACCTTTTCCACTCTGTCAATACTATGAATAACATTGATTAAATGTTAGCTTCTGCTAAAGGGAAACTGGACATTGAATGTATAATCTGTATAGTGTTTTTCCCAAACAAGCTCTAAAAGTTCCCACTGAGAAAGCTCAAGCCAGTGGAAGCTTAACTAAAGGCCTTATCAATCTGCTCCTATATGATCAATAAAATACTTAGGTCTGGAATCAATCTAACATCTATATTACATAAGAAATGGTGATAGAGGTTATTTATATGGGAAACTGAAGCCGAAGAAGGAAAATAAAAATGAGTTAGAGATCAAATCACCATACTTTTAATCATATTTAAGACCAATTCTAGAAAGATACTTTCAACTCCAATCTACTGTGGAGATTAACCAATAGCATGTCCCTTCATGTAAAATCCTTTAACTTTAGTTAAGGAAAAAAGAGCATCGAGTACAGGAAATCAGGTCTTTTTAACATAATAAAATTCAATGTCCATCTCAGCTATAAGCAACATGCAATCTGATGGAAACAATTGAATTTAGCGTCAGGAAATAGGACATTAAAGTAGAAGTTGTTAAGACAGTAACAACCATTTCCTAAGGTATTACTTCAAATCATAATTGTCTAAAATTTTTTCATTGTTACTGAGTCACCTAAGAAGTGGAAGAAACAAATCAAGCAAGTTGAGAAAGCTCTTCTTTGTGTTGCATATGGATTTATTTTATGTTAACACCAACATATTCTGGAATTTATTGTATAATTACTGACAGAATTCAATAGCCAAAGACCACTTATGAATTGTTGAAATAAGAAAAGAACTTACAGATAAGACGCTTTTCAACAGTATTGCACAATTGAGGACAACTGCAAGGGCAATTCCAGATAGCATCGCTATATAGGGGTAGCTTGTCAGCAGAGGTATTGACAATATCTACAAACGGAAGGTTCCATGTATTATTAGATGCCATTAGCTAAATTTTATTGAAACCTTATTTTAAATCAATGTGATTATAATCAATATGCATTTTAGTGCTTACTCCTGAAATTCGAGCAATGTTAATTGGGCCGAGCATCTTCTCCACAAATGGATACAAAAATAGTTGGAAAACTAAAAGTCCACATCCTGAAAATTTGGAATAGTTGTTTTAAGTATGACGCTGAAGTATCCCACCACAAAAAAGAAATAAAAAGAAGAAAAAGCATATGCAAAGCAAAATAAGACCATTACATTCTCATTAGTTTGAGCTTAATCAGAAATTTACCTATACCATTTGGTCTTTTTAAGCACACCTAAATGATTCTCCAAAACCACTCGCCTCATGAAAGACATGAAGAGAAAATGAAAAACCAAAAGAAAATCTAACCAAACAACCAACATTTTAAAGTATTTCTTGTGATTAAAGACACTAACAAAATGCTCAATGTGAAACGCATTTGATTAAGGTTCCAACCAGTAGTTCAGAGGATATAAAAAATGGTAACACATACATCAGTTAAAACTTCAAGAGAAGAGACAATTATGCTGCTAGAGAAAATAGTTCATGGACATGGATCATATCATTTGTACAAGAAGATCACGCCAGCACGAAAACAACTTCATGACTCGACATGATTTTACATAGAACCAAGAAACAAAAGACAAAAGAAAAAAAACAGAAAGCTAAGTGGAAGATCACATAGATAATTTGCAACACTGAGATTCACTAGCTATAATATTTGCCTTCATTAAGTAGTCAGCAATAACTGTTGAAACAGGGAAGTAAAAACAATTTCTACAGCTTCCAGTTAGAAATAAAAGCGCAACTAGAAGTAGGTTTAGAAAAGATTCAAGAAGTAGGTCTATGTAGGCCATATCTGCTTCAGAAAAAATATAATGGCAGGATCATATGTGCACAGCCATCTACTGTGCTAAAGGAGGTAATATAACAGATATTACAAGTCCAATAATGACAAATTTTTATTTCAGTATTTCCAAGAAGCATCTTATCTTAGATTACTCTCAAACTGAGAGATATACTGCAAAAAAATTGCTTCTTATAGATTTATTTAAGTATTTCCCAAAAAGATTATTGCTTTTGGAAAACAGAAGAAACCACCTTGAAAACCACATTTAATAAGCCCCAACACATGACACCAAAATATTGCCAAAAAATGTTTTTTTTTTTTTTCTCAGTCAGCAAAGAGTAATGCCCTAAATTTAACAATACATCAACTCTGTTTCTAATTTACTGGATTTCACAAAACTGGCTATAATGACAAAAGGTGGAACACTGATATGACATCATATATTGAGATGCTTATTATATCTACAGTACACATTGAGTTTCCATCTCGCTTGTTGAATTGATAAATATGAGCGTCATTGATAAAACCATTTGTTTAACTTAGTTAATATCTATTTCTGACAGCAAACCACACATGGAGCTACATAGAAAGAAAAGTTCCACGATAGATGATAATTTTAATCATAGAAGAAAAACTGATAAAATACATCCTTTGTTCTACAACAATCAGCTGTACCAGAAAGGAGGAAAGAGAAAACATGTAATAACAGACATTAATAAAACAAAACCTCTTTGTGGTAGAGGTCAGAAAATATTGATAATCAAACCTACCTGTAATTGTTAGAATTTCACCAACACTTTGAGTTGAATAACTTAAACCTCCAAACTTCCTGGGGCTTTCTGCCCATAATGAACATATCTGTGGAAATAACAATTGTAATATAATGTGCATGCTTAACTGGACAAGAGCAGCAACAAAAGAAACAAAGTCCCGGAATAAAACAATGACTAAAAAATAACTTGCCAGATGATCAAAGTTTCAGCAACAAAAATATCAAATAAGAGACTGAAAGAACCTACAGAAATTCCTACCTTCATCTCTGTGTAAACTGATACTAAAATGCTGGAAGAAACAATGTTTAAATGATTAAAATGATGAGAAGACAGATATCAACTATACCTCTGAATAAGCCATATCATGAAGGGAGAAAATGCAATATACTATTATGGATGACATTAATGGCCAATTCTTCAAGAGACTTTTTGCAGAAGCAGTTTCTCTTCCATCTTTTGTTTCTGTTTTCCAGTTGAATTTTGGTAGTGCAGCCTCCAAAGCATCATATGATTCAGAAGGTGAACTATTACAAGGGTGCATATGCAACGTCTCCTGCAGTCATACGATTTACCATTAATCCCAACAATGCATCCCCTAAGTGCACGACTAAGTTAACAAATAACAACAGAATACTACAATTTTCATGACCAGGAGGGAAAGGATGCGAAAGCAAAAGAGAACTGGAGGATCTACATGTTATCGTAGGCATAGGATGCACAAGAGGAAGTTTTTGCATAGTACATCAAAAATTTAGAAAAGATTGTTACGTTAAAAATATATAAATATTAACTGTTCATCAGCATTATTTACGTGGCACTGTTCATTGCAGCATGGTCCACATTAGTGCTCATTGGCATTGCTCATCCTGTATTGGTGGTCGCATGACACTACTAGTGCATGGCACTTCTCATTGGGTGTCTCAATTACTCACCTTCTATGTAGATATCATGCTTGATATGCGCACTCAGAGTTATGCCATAATCATGATTTTCATGGTACTAAAAGTAAAATTGGTCAACGGTGGAGTTGGCTGCAGTTGTCAAATTCTCATTATATTTAAGGAATCATGTTCATCATTATTCTTTTGATATAATTGGCAGACCTCTTTTCTGTTCTTTGGCACATCTCTTCCCAGTGCTTCATTTCCTCAATTAGATAATTTGATGACATCTTTCTACATCACATGGCAGGTACTCCAACTCATTTTCGCTCTCATATGTTCTCAATATTCCTGATTTCGCTTAATCTTGTCTCTGTTAGTAAACTCACAAATCAATTAGTGTTTAGGAAATAACTCCTGTGGAAAGTTAACATCTGGGAACAAATAGGATCACTAGTAGAAGGCACAAGCTACGTCTCTACTACTCTGTTCAATTATTCAGTTGCATATCTCCCTGGTGTTTCTCCACTTGAAGTCCCCTGTCACTTGGGTCATCCATTCTTGCAAAATTTAAAGAAACTATTCCCTGATCTGTGTCTTCTTTTAAATGAGTCATCTCAAATTACACAAAGCTTTGTTGTCTTTCATTTGCTCCAAGACTGAAGAAATAAGCACCTGCAGGCTGCACCACTAATGTTAGTTTATTTCAAAGTTAGCAGTGGAACTCTGTCACTTCAAATTTGGTTCCAAATACTTTGTAATAATTGTTGATGACTTTTCTAGAGTTTCTTATTTTTATCTTATGAAATAATATTGTAATTTGCATTTTGTGTTTTGTTCATTTCTATTCTGCAATGGGAACAAATTCAACCTACTCGTCTTCATCCATCATCATGATAATGCAGAAGAATCCTTTTTCAGCCCATTCAATTCTTTCATGGCCAAGTCGAACATTCTTGTCCATCCATTGGACACCAAAATGGAGTTACTAGGAGGAAAAATGAGCAACTTGTTCTATTGCATGGAGCTCTGACACTGATTTATCAGTTGCCTTATTGACATCAAATCAGACAGTTACACCTCCATCTGATTTAGATCTTCCTGTTGCTTAACAGAAACATAGGAGGTCTTCCCTTTGTATCCCATTGCTAACTTAGTAGCTTATGTTCCTTTATTTCTTTTCAATCGTATTTTTGTTGTCTAACTTGAAACTCATTCAATTCCATTGCTGAAAATATATTCCATCCTGGTTGGACAAAAGCTATGGAAGAAGATGTTGCATTATTGGTATTCCTTAATTAAAGCTATTGTTGGTTGTGATGGGTATATACAGGAAAAGCACATCCTAATAATTCCTTTGATACGTTAGAAGTCCATCTTGTCACAAAAGTGACAAGATGAGGAGGTTTACATAAAATGATGAGGAGGTTTACATGAAGTGACCTCCTATGTTGATGCTCAGGGGGAGGATTCCAAGCTGGTGAGTTGACTAAAGCAGTCTCCCAGAGCTTGCTTTATTCATTTTATCAGCAATTCTGCATAAGTTTGGGCTCAAGAGATGCTGAGTGAACCACTCAGTATGTTTCCAACAAGTTCCAGACAAAGTTGAATAGTTGTTTTAGTAGATCATAGGATAACCACAGGTGATAATTATAAGATAATTCAACATTAAACTCTCTCTTTAGGCATTGTTAACAAACTAGGTATGTAAGAAAAGTTGGAAAGCTCAATTATCACTCTATGAGTAGACTAGATATCTCCTTTCCAGTGGGATGTAGTTCCATGTACTGATAGCTAGGTATAGTTATGTTGTATCGGAGCCATACTTATACACAAATCAAATGGTATGCAGATTGGGCTGTTCCTCAAGATCAAAAGTCAACTGCAGAGTATTAAGTTTGTATTAAATGGTACACAAAGGTTGTTTCAAATTCGAGTGCAATATCCTAGAACCTGTGAGACATTGACTTTAATTGTCATTTTTTTCCAAAAGAAGTTGTTAGAAATGGTGACTAAATTATTTCATGCAAGATCAGTATGTCCATGCGGCTAATTTTTGTTTATGAAGTGTTGAGGGTTCACATGTGGCAATATACCACAACAAGTTATAGTGATTAAAGGATGCAGATTTTAGGTCATTCAAAAAATCAAGCAGGAATGTAGACTAATGCAAAGACGATTCTTAGTGCTTTCACTAGAGGGCGAAGCATTAAAAAGGGCTCAGCAATATCAATAACTAAATTTTCTAGAGTAAACTGCTGCAACAAGTAGGAGAGAGCTAAGAATTATATTGAAAAATAATTATCAGCTCTGCGATGTGATGGCAAAATAGTGTTCCAAATAAAGACACGTCTCAAAATGATCAACAATATGGATGACAGAAAATCTAATTGGAATTCAACGTATATACTGGAGACTTACCGGTAGCCAAAAACAACAAATTGCCCCAATTAATGCAAAGAGCGATATGCAAAGGCACGGCAGGAAGTATGGAAATCTGAAAAATAATATTTGGAGCATTATGGATAAGAAAGTATTAGCCCAAAAACATTATGAAAATATTAATACAGAACCAGAGCATTTTTTACCTGCCAAAGATAGAATTTGGAGAAAATGTGGCAGGATATTTTTCTGCGGGCTTGGCACATGAAATAAAAATTAGAACACATTAATGACACTGAAAAGATGTGGGGCAAAATAAACCAGTCTCTACTTATACATGCTTCACAAGTTCAAGAATTTGAAAGTTTTTTGCACATATAGAATGTGGAAGCTCTAGTTGTAGGCATTTAGCTCATTATGCGTGAATGTTCACTAAACTAAGTCCAATCTTGTACTGTAGTTACTTATGTCAAACTAAATCCCAACCCGGTTTTCATACAGTACTGCTCTACAAATCAAGAAACGAGAATAAAAGCAAGAAACTTTTCTTGATGAAAGAAATTCAAAGAATAAAAAATCAGTGGCAGCAAAACTTGATACTTTAGCAATGGGGATTTGGTCAATACGTGTCTCCAAATCTTCAGTAGTATTTGAGTCAAGGCTGCTTCCAATAGTTAATATGCATATGATAAGGGATAAATTAGCAGCAGAAAAGTAAATGGGGGTTCATAAACAACAAATTAGAGTACCTGTGCAAGAAAACCTCCCAAAGCTGGGCCAGTGATCAAACCTATGGCCCACGATGCACTGATCTGCAAAATATATATATATATATATATATATATATATATATATATATATTGTCAGTATTTTAGCATATTCTAGTTTAAACATGAAGGCTAGACCATTGGTGTGGCTCAATCGAACATCCCAGTATGGTTCAAAGATACAGTTGGGCAGGTCAAGACTCACCCTGTCTGAAGTTCCAGCCTTTCAGTCCAAAGTCATCGTTTAATTGCTATTTTGCTTCCAGTATATTGTATTTGACTTTCAAATAGTGCATTTTTTAGTTCTACATATGTTGTTTTGACAAAGTTATATTACTCGATAGATAACTATCTTGTCAATGATAGCTCACACCATAATTATGTTAGTAAACTGACATATCGCATAATACAAATTTTGCTAGTTAGGTAGCTAGTAATAAATCTGAAGTATACAGTGATCCGAGGTGCTTACAGAGGAGAGTGCCACAGCTTGATACTTGTGATGGCAAATCTCACTTGCATATGCCTGGAAATTGCAGCATATCAGTCATTGCTGTCTTTAGATTTTATGTAAATGCAAATGCAGGGAACAGGAGAAGAAAGACAGTTGCATCCATATAAACTTAGGATAACGGCTTCATTGTTCAGCTGTGAACTTCCAAGAGTAAAGGACCCCATGAATTTTGTAATACCTTCATTGGTCCGAGTAAACCGTTCAATGCACCAAGCAGAAACCTTGTACCAATTGCCATCCAGAAGTTCAAACTAAGACCGAATAGAGTATTGAAAACAAATCTGAAACCAAGATTTACCAAGGCTTATTGAACTATTCACAGTTAGAATAGAAAACTTAATTTGAAACAGATTAAGTGGACATACATAGCGATAACCCCTGTGAATATGACAGGTTTTCGACCATATCGATCAGCCACTACTCCCCAAAATATGGAAGTCAGAGTTCTTCCAAGCATATATGAGGCACCTTCATGATTATAGGCAACGTATGACTATTTATCAAGGACAAGTATGCAATACTTGGTGGAAAAATATCACTGAAGTAGAGGGAAATAAACTCACCAACATAGCCTGCATAAAAATTGATATCTTCCTCCCTCTTTGCAATATGGAAATCTCTTATCTGCAAGTTACATTGTAAAATTAAAGACTGAAACATCTGTAACTGAAATCTCTTTTCGAGAGTAAAAATACAGATGCATCCATGACATTAGGGAAAATAAGAAGTAGAAGAAATTTCTTCATGAAAGATAAATGCGTGAGCTGTAGAATCAGTAAGGGATTAATTTCTAACAGTCAAAAGCCTATATTAAACAAGTTCCATATCCAATAATCTGTGGGATTCATATATAAAATCAATTACAAAGTAATGTCATGTAATCCCATTTTAGTCTGAATTGCAAAAGCAGATAAAAGTTTCTATGTTCAGAGTTCCATGTTTTTATAGCAAAATCAATGCTAAAGGGACACAAAAGTGAGTGCAGACTCCCAGTGTCTAACAACATGGTATCTGTTTCCAAGTAAACATTATAATTTGGTTCAGATTCGATAATTCCTTCCATAGACTGCAAAATTTGTGGAAAAGTAAAAAATGCAAAGCATTGCCAACATATGTGTCTTTTTACACTACAATGACTGGCCAATTTCTTACAGGTCAAGTTTTAAAATGAAATTTCAGTAAAGCAGATCTGCCATTTGGTAAGGGAAAAGAAGGTAGATGCAAATAGTTTTTCAAGTCTAGTTATCTCCAGATCATGTTTTTGTAGTAAAGGCCACCAGCCTGAAACCACTAGCTTCTTGTAGGTCTATTAGAATTCTAAAAGAATAAGCTTATTTTATAGGTCAGGAGATCTAAAGGAGAAAATGAATTTATTTCTCCAGAGGCAGAAATAGTAAAATATCGGTATTTCAACACTGAAAGTTTGAAAGACTAACAAGATATCTGACATGAAACAGTAAGGAATCCCATGCCAAATCCTTATAAGAAGTAAATCAAAAGACTCTTAAACTAAGCTACTCAGGACAATTAAATAGAAGGGCATATACAGAAATTGAACAGAAGTTCAGTGCAACCAAATTTGGCTCAAATATACTTACCATAAAATAAAGAAATGGATAAAGAGATGCAATTGGTAGTGCTGAGGAAGCAACCAAAGACAGAGAAAAAGATGTCAGAGCACGACCTTGCAATAAAACTGAAATTGTCAATAAAACAATAACCAATCCTCATGTAAGTGCTAAAAACATTTGTAAATAACTACGAAGCTATACACATAAAGGTTTTGTAAAAATGCCAAACATTTAACTTGAAAAAGGAAAACTAAGCAATAAGAGGCAATAATATAGAGATATCCAGAGGTATTTGTTTGTGTCACAAATCCCAGATGAACCATTTACTCATCTAGGATAAAAAATATGTCCCCAAACGGGAGTAAGTAAAGAATATTGTTGCAACCAAGAAAAGACATGATGTACACACAAACTATTTGCTGTAAACTATTATGTCTCATTTCCTCTGTTCAAATTCAATCTCTTATAAAATTTGGTGTGACCAAAAACAGTAGTCATAAACCAGAGTCTGAACTTTAAATAAATATTTCGTTTAAATACTGAATGCATGAAAATTGGCAGTAGCAACACATCTTTCTCTGTTCCTCCAATTTGAATAAACTAATGTGGTGAACTCACATGGTTTAAATTTCCCTTCAATCTCATATAGAGTTCAACCTCTTGATATTTGTGCTTAGTCAAACCAAGTCACTTGACTTGATAGTTCAGTTCTATCTGTTGAGATCTAGAATATCTTTTTCTATGTATATCCCATGATTTCTGCTATATCCCATGATTTCTGCTCTATTTTAGGATAGAATAATTTACTCCTAATGTATTTTAGGATAGAATAAATTAGCTCCTAATTTTTAGGAAATTACAGATTTCATGGAATTGACAAAAGTCAAATTCCATTTGTATAAATGTTGTACAGAGTCTGGAACAAAAGATATGACAGAACAATTCAGTTCTTCTTTTTGTTCATGGTATCAGAGCTTTTGCTCTTGGGACCTCTTCTTGTCAGCCTTCATTGCTGAGAACTTTCCTTTTTTTCAAGTCTTATTGCCAAGTGCAATTTCCAGCCTTCATTGCTGATTTTTTCCATTAGGCCTTCATTGCCAATTTTTCTTTGAAACCTCCACCATGTCTGAAACTGAAACATCAGAAATCCACTCCAATACCAAATCAGAGGAGACCTCAAATATTCCACAAACAGGGGATTTGCAGAGTATCCAGGCAGCCTACAGGCTCAACGGGAAAAACTATTTGAAGTGGTCACAATTTGTTCAAACATTTCTCAAAGGAAAGGGCAAAATCAGCCACTTGCTTGGAACTGGACCGAAAAAGGGAGATCCTAAATTCGCTGCTTGGGATGAAGAGGATTCTATGGTCATGTCATGGCTGTGGAATTCCATGTTACCTGAAATAAGCGATACTTGCATGTTCCTACCAACAGCTCAAGATATATGGACTACTATTCGACAGACCTATTCAAAGGCAGGAGATGCTGCCCTAATCTATGAGATCAAAACAAAGATCTCAGCCACTAAACAGGGCAACCTTTTTGTTACTCAATATGCCAACCTTCTGCAAAATCTATGGCAGGAACTGGACCAATATCGGTGTGTTCAGATGGTGTGTAGTGAAGATGCAGCCACCTTGAAAAGCTTTATCGAAAAGGATAGAGTTTATGACTTCCTTGCAGGTCTGAATGTGGAATTTGATCAGGTCAGAATCCAGATATTGGGGAAGGAAAGATTATCATCTCTGAATGAGACAATATCATTGATTCGAGCTGAAGAGAACAGGCGAGAAGTCATGTTAGAGCCTAAAACATTAGAAGGCTCTGCAATGATTTCTACAAAGTCAAATAAAGACACAATTTGGTGCACGTACTGCAAAAAATCAAGCCATACGCGAGATGATTGCTTCAAACTCCATGGGAAGGAACAAGTCCTTAGTCGTAAAGGAGGATTCAAAGGGCGAAAAGCCCACTTAACTGCTGGAGAAGACCAAACACAAGAAAAATCCAACCAGGCTGGTATGGGAGAATTCAAGAAAGAAGAAATCGAAAAGCTAAGAAACCTCCTAAATTCCCTTGAAAAGTCCTCTAGTACGTGTTCATTGGCTCAATCAGGTAAGTACCTTAACTCTTATGCTTTAAGTGCCTCAAGCATGTCTTCTCTAGGCTCTTGGGTCATCGACTCAGGAGCTACTGATCATATGACTCACAGCCCAATCAGATTTAGAACATACAACCCATGTCCTGGAAATAGAAAAATTACTGTTGCGGATGGATCTCCTATAACTGTTGCAGGCCAAGGGACAGTAAATCTATCAAATTCTTTGTCCCTAAATAATGTGTTGCATGTCCCAAAATTGTCCTCCAATCTCATATCCATCCATCAAATTACCAAAGATCTGAACTGTAGAGTAATTTTCTATACTACTCACTGTGTTTTTCAGGATTTGGTTACGGGGAGGACGATTGGACTTGCTAAGGTGAATGATGGGCTTTATTACCTTGAGGAGATGAGTGGCAACAAGAAGAACAAAAATCAGTTATCCCTCACCTGCTCCTCAAATAATAAATCTGAAATTTGGCTTCATCATTTCCGTCTTGGTCATCCATCTTTTATTCTACTTAAAAGCATGTTTCCTTCACTTTTCAAGAATGAAGATGTTAGTAGTTTTCATTGTGATACATGTGAAATTGCTAAACATCATAGACTATCATTTTCATTGAGTAATACAAGATCTACGAGACCTTTCTCTTTGATACATACTGATATTTGGGGGCCTTGTAGAATTTCTAGTATTTCTGGAGCAAAATGGTTTGTCACATTCATTGATGATTGTACTAGAACTACTTGGTTATTTCTTATGAAAGAAAAATCAGAAGTAAGCAGTATTTTTCCAATGTTTCATAAAATGATTTGTACACAATTTGGAAGTCTGATTAAAAGAGTAAGATCTGATAATGCAAGAGACTATTTTAATCAAATTCTCTCATCTTTTTTCCAAAAAGAGGGTATAATACATGAGTCATCTTGTGTAGATACACCCCAACAAAATGGGATTGCTGAACGAAAAAATAGACATTTACTCAATGTGACTCGAGCAATTTTGTTTCAACATAAAGTTCCAAAAACTTTTTGGGGGGAGGCTGTTTTAACTGCTGCACATTTGATAAATAGAGTACCTTCAAAAGTACTAAATAATCAAAGTCCCATTGCTGCTCTTTCTGTTTTTTACCCTGATTTTAATGTCTCTTGCACATTGTCACCAAAAGTGTTTGGTTGTATTGCTTTTGTACATGTTCATGCACACCAAAGAGGGAAACTTGATCCAAGAGCTTTAAAATGTATTTTTGTGGGATACTCAAACACAAAGAAAGGATATAAGTGTTATCATCCTCCTTCAAAAAAATTTTTTACCTCCATGGATGTCACATTTGTTGAAAATGAACCTTATTCTCAAAGTAACAATCCTCATCCCCAGGGGGAGAGTTCTTGGGAAGATAAGGAATTTCTCCTTGATCTTCAAAGTCCTACACTAAACTTAAAGTCTTTCAAGCCTGACCATACACCAAATTCTAAAGGAGAACATACTAGCAGTGAACCTGAACCTGAATTTGAAGTTGAACATGCCAGTAAAGAAATTGAACCTGATCTTGCAGCTGAGGGAAAATCTGGTTTAAATCCAACTACACCACTCAAGGTCTACTCAAGGAAGAAAGTTCATATTTCTGAACCTGTGCAAATCCAAGAATCTGAACCACAATCAGGTACTGAAAATTCTGTTCCTTTGTGTGTTCAATCTGACTCTGCTCCTTGTGAATTTATTGATTTAGACCTGCCTATTGCTGTTCGAAAAGGAACACGAGAATGCACTAAGCACCCAATCTCAAATTTCGTGTCTTTCCATAGACTCTCTCCACAACATAAAACTTTCCTTACCACCATCAACTCCATTTCAATCCCACAAACACTACAAGAGGCACTTAGAAATAAGAACTGGTTACATGCTATGAAAGAGGAAATGAATGCCCTAGAGAGAAATAAGACTTGGGAAATTGTAAACCTGCCCAAAGGAAAGAAAACAGTGGGGTGTAAATGGGTGTTTACTTTGAAATATAGAGCTGATGGTTCATTAGAAAGGCATAAAGCTCGGTTGGTTGCAAAAGGATATACACAGACATATGGGATAGATTACCAAGAGACCTTTGCACCCGTTGCAAAAATGAATACTGTGCGTGTTCTTTTGTCTTTAGCCGCTAACTTTGGTTGGTGTTTACAGCAATTTTATGTTAAGAATGCATTCTTACATGGGGATTTAGAAGAAGAGGTGTACATGGAACCCCCACCGGGTTTCAATGAAATGTTTTTTAAAAAGAAAGTGTGCAGGTTAAAGAAAGCATTATATGGATTAAAACAATCGCCAAGGGCTTGGTTCGGAAGATTTACTAAAGTGATGCTAGCAATGCAATACAAACAAAGTCAAGGAGATCATACTTTGTTCATAAAATATTCAAAAGGAGGTGTTACAGCTCTACTTGTATATGTAGATGACATCATCATTACCGGGGATGATCCAATTGAAAGAGAAACACTCAAAAAGTGCTTAGCAAAGGAGTTTGAAATTAAAGAACTAGGGAGGCTGAAGTATTTTTTAGGCATTGAGGTGGCATACTCAAGTAAAGGCATCTTTGTTTCCCAACAAAAGTATGTCTTAGACTTGCTTAAAGAAACAGGCAATCTTGGATGCAAGGCAGCAAGTACACCCATTGAGCCTAACTTGAGATTGAATGAAGAGAAGGATGATAGCACAGTAGATAAGGGAAGATATCAGCGGTTGGTTGGGAAACTGATATACTTGTCCCATACAAGGCCGGACATAGCATTTGCTGTAAGTGTAGTAAGCCAATTTATGCATGATCCAAGAGAGAAACACTTGCAGGCTGTCAATAGAATTCTATCCTACCTCAAAGGGACACCAGGTAGAGGAATTTTGTTCAAGAAAAATGAAGGATTGCTCATAGAGGCATATACTGATGCTGATTATGCAGGTTCTGTTGTAGATCGTAGATCAACTTCAAGATATTGTACATTTCTTGGTGGGAACCTAGTGACATGGCGGAGTAAGAAGCAATCGGTTGTTGCAAGATCAAGTGCGGAAGCAGAGTTTAGAGCTATGGCTCATGGAGTTTGTGAATTGCTATGGCTCAAAATAATACTTGATGATCTTAAAATCAAGTGGGAAGGACCTATGAAACTCTATTGCGACAACAAGTCTGCCATCAACATTGCACACAATCCAGTGCAACATGATCGCACAAAGCACATCGAAGTTGATAGACATTTTATTAAAGAAAAGCTGGACAGTGGCATGATTTGCACTCCATATGTAGCATCAAATAATCAATTGGCAGATGTCTTAACTAAGGGAATGCCAACTTCCAACTTTGAAGACATTACATGCAAGATGGGAATGGAAAATATCTATTCACCATCTTGAGGGGGAGTGTTGAGATCTAGAATATCTTTTTCTATGTATATCCCATGATTTCTGCTATATCCCATGATTTCTGCTCTATTTTAGGATAGAATAATTTACTCCTAATGTATTTTAGGATAGAATAAATTAGCTCCTAATTTTTAGGAAATTACAGATTTCATGGAATTGACAAAAGTCAAATTCCATTTGTATAAATGTTGTACAGAGTCTGGAACAAAAGATATGACAGAACAATTCAGTTCTTCTTTTTGTTCACTATCATCTAATCTCAGTTTCTGCTTCCATGTGAGGTAGCGAACCACATTTTGCTTGTTCATATGTTCAGGCAAAAACATGCCAGCTGTTCATCTTTTATACCTTTTTTGTTGGATCTTTTCAAAAATAACCCATAACGTACAAAGAAAAGTTATTGCAATATAACTGAATTAAATGAAAGTAGTTCCCACTTTATACCTAAGGTAATAAGAAACCATTACAGGATAAAATAGAGAAAATAACCCGCTTCTGTCTAACACTCCCAATGGCAGAACTAATATCATCCAAACCAAACTCTATGAAGAAGAAGATCTCTTAATTTCAGGCAGAAGTTATTCCTAAAAGTGTAGATTTCCTTCAGAATCCACATGAATCTGCAATGGGAATCAATTTCTCGACACTTGTATTGGATTGAGACGTTCTTATTAGCATTCTTAGCTGTCCAACAGCACAACCTAAGAACAAATGTTTACTACCATGCAGAATTCAGAATCTCCATCTGGTCAATTAAAATACCAGTCCACTCTTCTGTTTTACCCACTACAGAGAAATGTCACCAGATCAATACAAATTTGGTATATGCCTGCCTGAAAAATTCAGATATGCATGGTCCCACAAAGCACAAAGAGAACCATATGAAAACAATGCTTCCTTTCTCTTGAAAGGGTCAATGTCATTCATTGGCTGTAATAATCACTCACATTCATCCTGCCCCGGCGATATTTTTGTTCAGTCAATACCATTGACTGCCTTTAATTCAGTGGGCCAAATTGAAAGGATCAAATATTATGTCTTTCCAGCCATTGTCTATAAGATTCATCTGCTAGTTATTAAAAATCTCTAAAGATCCTTGGATGAAAAAATTAAGGCCCTTAGGACCTTTTTCTTGACATTTTATAGCCAGTTAATAGAAAAGCATGAGTTAATAGGAAACATACCAGTTAATATAAAAGCACGAGTCATCCAATATGCCACAGAGATGTTTCAAAAGAACAGTAGAATTTTAAATAATAACAAGCTTTCTCTCTTCTACAATTTCAGCATGTTCTACGGAAGCTTGCTCAAAGTAAGTGATAGTAAAGATAGAGTTTTCGTTTCCGTTTCTTTTCTGCGATAACAAGAATTCAGGGAAACTAAACACACATCTTCTAGACTATATTATTGCAGCCAGAGAAGGGAGAAATCAAAATATTAAACCACTTGAGGGTCAATACGAGAGATGAAGGAATTATCTTTGATTAAAACTCTCAGATTCATGAGTTGAAATTGCTTTCTCTAGTTCTATTTCTCCACTTCTCGAACTCATGAACCAAAATTAAATCCTAAATGCAACAGGGCAGATCAGATCACTAGTCTCACCCTGAACAATTTTCATACATTTGCTCCCGCTCCCAATATCCAATAAGACTAGCTGGCCAACTACCAGACCAACAAACCAAAACCAAACTCCAGTAATCACATTTGCTTAGTTCACATTCAATCCAGCAAGAGAAGAGCAAAATTTAAAGAAACTTCAGTTACCTGCAGATAGCACAATGGTCCCCATGGTTAAAAGCTTCTTGATGGGCACACCTTCCTGCCTCTCCTTCATCTCATCCACCACACAACCAGGGCAGTTCTCATGGTACTGTTTCTTCAGCAGTGTTTCTTGGAGCCCATTGTTTGCCATTTTCTTACCAAATTCTCTGCACCACCGCCACTACCACACCGCCTGTCTGTAATCAAACAAATGAAATAACTAGACGCAAATATAGGAACCAATAAAGGGCTTAGCCATGGATGGTCTGTGGATCAAAATTATTTATCAGAACTCTCATTTTCAAGTCAGTCATTCTCATGTTGTCTGTCAATGGAAAAAACGTGGAACTCGAAAAAGGAAGTGTCTGGTATAGATTCAACTTGGATAAATGGCCAATTTCGTCCCTAAATTTTTTATGAGTGCCGATTTAGTTCCTAACTTTTATTTCTGACTAATTTGATATTTGAATTTATTTTGTAGTTCCAATTAAGAACCTCCATGATGGCACCACGGCCTAAAACTAATCTGACTCCTAATTGACTAATTAAACAGAGGTATTATCACGAGACTGTAATAAAACAAGTAAATCTTATAAAAAATCACTGAATAAAACTTTTAAATTGTGTAAAAAATACCAAGTAAAACTTTTTTAAAGCTTAATTTTGTGATTTTTTATACAATTTATTTGATTTATTAGAGCCCCATAAGTGATGTTTCTAAAATATCTTTGTTTAGTTTGTCAATTAAGAGTCAAATTAGTTTTAGGTGACGAAGCCATCACGGAAGTTCTTAATTGAAACTGCAAAATAAGTTCATATATCAAATTGATTAGGAATAAAAATTAGGGACTAAATCAATACTAGTGAAAAATTTAGGGATGAAATTGGCTATTTTCCCTTCCCTTTCATAACTCACAGTTTTTTGTATGAGTGTTTCGATAAATGGACTCTGCGAAGACACTTCAAAAGCCGGCAACTTTTGAAGTGCTCCGCAGCACTTAACTACTAAACCCCCCAAACCCCCCCAAGCGATGTGGGAACTTAACCCCACAGGGTGCCCCGCTGCTAAGAGATAAAGACCCCCAGACTCCCCGAGACAGGTTTTTCCCTTTCATAACTCACAGTTTTTTGTATGAGTGTTTCGATAAATGGACTCTGCGAAGACACTTCAAAAGCCGGCAACTTTTGAAGTGCTCCGCAGCACTTAACTACTAAACCCCCCAAACCCCCCCAAGCGATGTGGGAACTTAACCCCACAGGGGCTATTTTCCCTTCAACTTGTGAAGAATTAGATAAATTCTGCCAATGGACATGATAGTGGTGACATTTGTACGACTGATTAGATGCATGTGCAACTTTCCAGTAATTTGAATTGGGATTTGTTTTGTTTTCAATTATGTCTATATGTACACTTGGACATTATTTCTAACGTCGCGGGGATTATGATAACATACCAATAGTCAGGATTAGGATTGGGTTGGGAATATGATAGGATTGCAGTAGTCAACATAAAGGTCAGGACAACCAATGTACAGGACACTGCCGGCCACCCATAATTCAATATACAAAAATCTTACTTACAGCTCCATTTTTAATCTTCCTTGTAAAGTTATTGCTGTAAAACAACGTATATAGTTGGTAGGTCGCAATCGGGTCGCTGACTCAAACACAACCTAACAACTCGAAATGAGTTAGGGTACCTGATCCGAATCCAAAAAATTCAAGTTAATGAGTTGGCAGGCCAATCTGAATGATCTGAAACATCATTTCTAACTTCACACAAGGCTAATTACATAATCAAGTAATAAAATTTTGATAAAATAATTTCAAACCAGATCTGAAATAAATTAAAACACTATAAAAGTGTTTTATCCCAAACTATAGCTAAAATAAATTAAAATATAATAAAAATAGAAAATAATGTAATATATCATTTATCCAAACTTAATAATTCGAACTTCACACAAATTAAACAAATTCATTTAGGATTAAGTGATTAATACCTTTGGCGAAAAAAGAATAACTTAGAAAATAATGTAATATATCATTTATCCACACTTAATACTAAGGCCTTGTTTGGCAGCCAATTTTTTGCCAAGTTTGTCTGGTACAAGTTTTTTAAAAACTTTAACTACAGTAATCTCAAAAAACTTTTCAAAGTTTTTAAACTATACAATTCAAAATATTAAAAAAACACACACTTCAAAAAAAAATTTAAAAACTTCTACAGTAAACTACAGTAAAATTTTAGATAAATATTCAAAAAACTTACTTGCTAAACAGGGCCTTAGTTTAGTTAGATAAAAAGAATAACTTCATTCAGGTCACCTACTTATGAATAAGGTAGGTTATAACAAAATACATTAAATAAGAGTATTTTAAAGAAGATACAAGTTAACTAAATTTTCAATTGAAAAGTAAATTTGATACAGATGAATGAAAAAAATAAAACTATCAAAGTGAAATAGATGTAATATAATCACACGCAAATGTATCATGGCAAAATAGAACAAAAATTACAATTTAGCTTGGACTGCCAATTGTGTGCTTTGAATCAATCATTTTTCCTACAATTATTCAATTGTATATTTTTCATACAATAATTCAATCATCTGTGTAATCATGGCTCGGAGGGCAACGAACTTAGGGCCAAAATGAGGTTCATCTCTGGTAGACAACTTCTCCTATTGACAGGAAAAATGACAACACATCACGTTGAATTGGAGAACAATTAATTGGAGAGAGAGAAGGCACCGGCTAGTAACCCACTAACCGAGAGGGAGATATTCAAATCTAAAAAGTCACATCACAGTGAGAAAAGCTGACAGCGGTTAGTATCTGTGAACAGATGTCAAGATTGAGGGAGGAATAAAAAAAGGAAGTGGCCAGGGATGGTTGGTGTAAATTTTTGAACAATGCAATATTTTTTTAAATGTTTTATAATTTTATGTAAATTTTTTATACATTTTTATAATATGTAATATTTTATTACTATTCATATGAATCTCATATATATTAATTGCGTCTCTATTATTAACTTTTATAAATAGTTTAAATAAAATTATGTCTTATTTAAAAATTATTATATCGTTTACAACGGCTATTACTGACAACTATTCGTAACCTTAATCAAAGAGACTGAGGAATCATTTTGACGGTTAAAGAAGTCCAATTAGATTAGGCTCTCCTATTGTTGTATCCCCAATTCCCTTCTGTTGTACCCCCTATCTCAGATATGCCCAAATAAACATGAATCCTATCCAAAAACTATTTAAAGTTTTATTTTTTGGGTTAATGAAATTTTACCCTTTTGAATGTAGGGGGTAATGACACTTTACCCTCTTCAATGAAAATAATGTGTTTGGATTAGGAAGATTTGAAATAAAAAAATTTACTTCACAAATTTCAATCACCTTTTTATCTTTCCAATCACCTTTTTATCTCATATACATTACATCACAAAAAATGCTACAGTAATTATCTCAAATATATCATCCAAATAAACTCCTATCCAAAATTGTGACAAATATTCCTTTTGAAAAAAGCAGGAAAATGAACTGCTTAAATATGTTGACAATTTTGCCCTTGTGTTTTTAATCAATTGCAATAATATATAAAAGACATTTATTGAGAAATAGAAGTCATATTTAGCATCAGAGGCTTTCTTTAAAAAAAAAAACACATATTTAGAGGTTTCACTTCGAAAAAAATTGAAAAAAGGGCCAATCCTATGTAGATCGGATACAAACGAAATTTGGAAAAACCAATTGATATCAAACCTTTAAGGCTTGGTAAAACAGTTTGAGAATATAAAATTTGATTACCAATTAATTAACGACCAATTTATCGAATTTCATATGTTAATAAATATTACATATATTACATAGGATCAAGCTGATTGAAGATAAAATTACAACATAATGATAAAATTGTCAACATATTTAAGCAGTCCATTTTTCTGCCTTTTCAAGTGGAATACTTGACACAAATAACAAACAGAATATTCTCAAGTAGGTAAAGTGCTTATTGTTTTCATTGAGGAGGGCATAGTGTTATTGACCTTTTATTTTTTTTGGTTGATGAAAACCTTTTACTAAATTCCTTCATTTAAGAAGTAATTTGTTTTAAAATTGCAAAGAGATCGAGTGTGCCCTCAACGCTTAGTACATACAATACATGAATCTTGAGTTTAGGTGCTAAAATTTGTGTCATTATTTATTATTTCAAATTTTCTATTTCAAGATTCATCAATCGACAGCTTATTTGTCAAACTTTCCACTCCTACGTAACTGTTGCCACGATACTCTTCGTATAATTGCTATGGCTACACTAATAAGCTACTAATTAACAAAAACCATCCGTAGTGTCCTTTCTTTGTATATATACATCCATACTAGTACGGGAACTACAAACGATTTAAAATAATTTAAAGTTTAGAATAATGCATGGATTTGGACATTTGAACTTATGTCCCGTACTAGCTAGGGATTAAAACATTTAAATTAAACCAACATATAACTATTGGATAACATGAATCAAATTTACTAAAAAAATAAAATAATTTAATAATATTAGGATTTGATACATGTTATGGAAACCTTCTAGAATCTCTCAACTAGTAAATAGGTATGTGTGTGTGCGTGAGGATGTGTGTGTATATATATATATATATATAATAAAATTTTTAATAATCACCAAGAAATTATCTTTTTCTTTAATGTGCACACACAGAGTATGTGCCCTTCCTATTAGTCTATAGTCTATAGTCTATGCACACACAGAAATTCTAATACTTTATATTCTTGCCAAACTATCCTTGATAACTATCCATTATCAACAGGAGTGGCAATCGAGTCAGAAACGAATTGGCGGGTCGGATTGACGCGCAGATACAACAAAAAATTCGTTGACTCGAACACTACCCGCCAACCCAAGACGGGTCAGGATACCTGACCCAAATCCGAAAATTTCGAGTTGGCGGGTCAACCCGAATAATCTTAAACATAATTTCAACTTATTAATTTACCATTCTAGTTTCTAGCAGAACCAATTTCACAAAAGGCTAATTACATAATCAAGTAATAAAATTTTTGATAAAATAATTCCAAAACAGATCTGAAATAAATTAAAACACAATAAAAGTGTTTTATCCCAAACTAGATCTAAAATAAATTAAGATACTATAAAAATAGAAAATAATGTAATATATCATTTATCCAAACTTAATAATTCCAACTTCACACAAGTTAAACAAATTCATTTGAGATTAAGTGGTTAATGCCTTTGGGGAAAAAAGAATAACTTAGTTTAGTTGGATAAAATATTTTTATATTTATTAAAT